ATGCATTACTGTATTTTAGAACACTTTTAAAAGCCTAGTTGTCTGTGGTTTCCATGGCATTTGTGTGTATATTCACAGACAAAATGTGAGTGGGTGCATCAGAATTGCAGATTCTTTTCTCAGATAGCTGTTTCTGGTTTTGAACAACAGCTTGGTTTTTATCTTAATGGTCAAATGCACATTTTTTAAGTCTTCAAATAGCATATTCGAGTACAAAATTATCTAATTAAATATTTATACTACTAATAATTTGAGAATTAAAATAAAAACTATGTTATACATTACAGAAATCTGAGATTTTTTGACAGCTGTCTACTAAGCTTTTTGTTTCTAAATGCAAGTTGTTAACGGAAAACATGTTTAATGACCATACAAATTTGTGTTCATGTCTTACTGGCTTTCAAAATTTTAGTATGTGAAGGCAAAAAAATCCTCATGTTAAGTTAGCTGCAATTTCATCTAGAAAGCTGCTTTCAAAATAGAATAGTAAGAAAAGTTACAAATCTCTGCTTGCAAAGACAACAGATCTGCACTTCAGTTAATATTCCTGTCCAATTCACCGGGTGAATATAAAACTGCTGAATGGGGCACTTGTACATATTTTTATCCCCTCCTTCGGCTACCGACTTGGGTAATGAAGTGTAGATGTGGCTGTTACGTGCCAGTTGGAAGGGAGCCAAAACAGAGACGTTGTTTGTACATGTGCAGATGTTGGCAGGATTCCCTGCACTCCTGTTGTCAAAAGATCTTTTTATTGCCACAGAGTTATAAATATATCTGTGTTACAGTATGGCATGCACATATTTTACTAGTGCTGTTTGGGATGTTCACTTCTTAATAAACCAAACTGCTCCTAGAATTTCTTGTGTGAAATGAAATTCAGTGTACCCAATGCAGGAAGCATAATAGATGTGTTTTGAAGATCAGTGTACCATTGTAACTAGTGCTGTACTTTCAAAATCAGTTTAATCCATTACATGAATCCCTGCTGCTGCTGCTGGAAAGGAAAGGTCCTCTTAGCTCCTTTCCTCTCTTCTGCACCTGGCTACTCAGGCCTTCTCCCTTCCTTTTGTCAGTAGTAGCATGATGTGGTGATGTGATGAGCTCGATCAGGCTGCTGATCCAGCTGAATGCCAGCCCAGCAAGTACCAGCTGCATTGCTTTCCTAATGACATGAAGGAGGGGACTGAAATGAGTGTGCTTGATGGCTTGGGAGGGATGGACACGTTCGCTTCCAATGGTAGCATGGCCTTTGCCAGGTTCAACTGTTTGCGGTTGAATTTGTATTTGGAAAGGGAGGCAAAGGCATAAGCAGAGCAGGACTGGAATATAGGAAAGGAGAGGGGTGGAAAAGAAAAGGAATGGGGTGGTCCAACGTCACACCTAAATAAAAATACTCAGGTATCATTGCTGTGGCAATTGAATATATTGCATTGAGTGGTGGTAAAATGCAGCAATATGTTATGCACAGTTGGTGAAATCAGTTAAACCTGTGTTTGTCAGAAAATGTAATTGGGTAAATTTTCTCCAATTTAAGATATAAATTTGGTTTTATAAGATATGGATAAAGCAGACTTGCATGGGAACAGGGCTGATAGGTACACGCTTTTGGACTTCCTCAATACTAAGCTGGATGGCTTTTTCCTGATAGATACTGGTAGGCAGTATTTTGAATTTTCCTGTATGCCCCTTGATCTCACTCACTGGAATGAAAAACATTTGCTTGCCCAGAGTTCTCTGGAGGTTATGCCTTAGCACCAGCTCCTGCTTGCTTCTTTTTGAGTGAAATGACATGTTCCTTTGTAAATAACTAACTTCATTTGATGGTCAGCAGCCATTTGCTTATTGGTTTGTTTTGATCCAGGACTGAATACAGTAATGATAAATGTGCATGAAATCTCACTTTGGTGGCGTTTATTCATGCCACAGGCATGAGTTTTCATTACATTGGTCTGTTTGTAGAATAAGTAAGGAACACTGAATTAGCACACACTTCGTTTATTGGAAGGTTGCTTTGCTAACCACAAAACAAACAAAAGAACCCCAGCCAACTTCTTAACTGTGGAATGTATCACTTGACTTGCCCTGAACTAGTGGATATTCGCCCCTACTTACCACCTTCATAAATTGCCCTCAAGCCTACAGATAAAAAACTGAAGTCTGGATAATGTCATCCTTATCGCATAGTAGATTCAGTTAGTGAGAGAGGTTTAGTTCTCAATTATATGTTATCACAGCTTGAAAATACTGGTCTCAAAACCATCAAATTAGTTCTGTATCATCCTCAGGACTTTTTATGACCAGATTTGTCTATGTAGGTAGATCAGGTGATCAAATTAGAGTAGGACTCCAGACACTTAGGCACCCCAAAAACTTTGAACCTGTTCTGTTATTAATATAAGGTCTGGTGCCCTTTTGACCAACCAAGAAAGGTGGTTCTTTGCAATGGTAAACACAGTTATTTCCCCTAAAATTGTCTTCTACATTTGCCGTGTTAGAGGTTAGCTTAATGGCTTTTGCCATAAAGATGGCAAACTAAGTCAACAGTACATATTAATTTCTTCACATGTACCATATAGACAAGATTGGCTATGTAGAAACTTTGAAGAGTCCTTAAAAATTCCATAGAGGATGACATCTAGCCCCCTCCCCTAGAATAGTCTGGGATGGATGCTCAGCTTCCAGTAGGATCCAATTATCAAATAGTGTTAACACATAAACAAATGGGTATTTTTATTGTGTCAAAATTATATTGAAAATACTAAATAATTGTAAAACTGTAGATGAACAAATTGCAATGTTCTTAAGTGTTCCAAGCAAGGACTGTTGGAAGCTAGGTACAAGTTAACCTGGTACTCAGCCTTCAATTTAGACACGGTCTCAATTAGGGCCTCCGTAACATTTTATTAAATGCTCCTATGGCAAGGAGCGTGCTTCCAGAGCAGAAACTTCAATCCTGAATCTTCTCTCCCTGTCTGAAAGGCCTTTAGAAGAAGGATGGAGATGAGCATGCTGTAGGTAGGTGAATTGGTTTGCTGGGCTGGAGACTCTCCAGTTCTGTGCTGGAGATGTAAAGTGGGAGCCATATGGAGTGTTAGAGTGACATTCTCCAGTATCAGCAGCATAGAAATGCAAAGGCATGCCCAAACATTTTCTTT